AGCGAACCATCACAGACAGAGCAGAGCCCGTTAATGAAGAGCCGCAACCCTCCAGACGAAGATAGCAGCACAGAGGAAGACTGGCTGAGGATGTCATCGGACGGAGCAACGCCAGGGACTCTCCAAAGTGTATTCATATCGCAGAGCGGCAGGGAGTAAATTAAGATAAAGAGAATGAAAGGACGGAGGAGGATCAAGTCATCATTCATCAGAAAGCAGACTTACACGCCGGCGCTGACATTCTTCTGCCTGACCGACATGCTCACATGCACAGACGCATCCACATCCCGGCCATTCCTTTTTTTATTATCTCCTCGGCTCTGTGTCTGTGCAGACCTCCAGGGGGGTTTTCTTCCTCTAAATCTATTCCAGGATCCCACAGATCTCTGCCAGACATTACAGTGCTCAAACACGCAGGGAAGACTCAGCGCCAGAACTATCGTTGATCCAAATTAAACTTTGAAACCCTGTGTTTGAGTTAAACCCGTCGGTGTTTGTTTCTGGCTGTGCTGGATTGTTTGACTGTCTCCCAGCAGGACTTTTTGAACAGCAGTGGGTAGGTTTCTTTGTAGTTTGGTTGACAGATCGACCTCCTAAACTGCCCACATGTGGGTCATTAATAGAAAGGCAAGTAGAGAGGTCGAGTGCTACTCAAAGCAGCAGAAGAACGGCTTCAATCGCATTTCAGGTGACAAATATTCTGCTGAACCAGAGGGGGCAAAGGGGAAAAAACAGTAGCTAGGACATTTCTGTTTTTCCAAGTTATGCAATCGTGCATAACTCAAAATAATCGGGTGTTCAACTCAACATTGAGATGACAGTATATGTGAATTCAGTGGGGATTCTTTCGAGCAAGCAAATGACTCTTTGAGGAAACTACTTTTGAATATATGCAGCTTGAAAAATCATCTTTGCAGTGGGCGTGAAACAAAAAGTACAAAATGTTCAGGGCAGCAAAATCGCTCTTTCAATAAAGCTTTTATTAGAGAAATGTCTCACCTGTGCACACAAAGCACAAATAAAACAAACTGACGGCGGCGATCGGACAAACACAGTCTCTGGCTGGGTGAGAGCGTGTGGAGGGGGAAAACCGTTTCTATTTCTGGCAGCGCGTAGATGAAGAATCGAGATAAACAAAGGCCAAAATGTGCCCTATATGCTGGCAGCAGTGAAGGGAAAGGATTATGTATGTTTGGAAAAGATCGGTGGAAAGTACAGAGAAATAGTCACACAAACCTTACATAGATAACACACGAGATAAAAACAATATCATGTGAGCAACAATAATAATAAATGTGAGACGTTGTGTGGATTTAAACTTACTTCTGGACAGTTTAAAGCATAAAATTAACCCCAAGTTAGTTCAAAGTCGGTCTGTTGCGGGGCAGAAACTCGACCATTACAGGCAGCTTTGTGCCGGCTCGGTCTGCAGGGGGTCCTAAAGGGGGACTGAGGGGGGAGGATGGTTTTATGAGCGTCCATAGAGAGGTGTAAAGGCCCAAGAGACAGGGCAGTGTATCATAAGAGAGAAGGATAGAGAGGAGGATAGAGAGTGGAGCAGAGTGGGAAGAAGTGAAGGCAGATGGAGGAGGGGGGACGAGAAACAAAAGTGAGGCAGAGGACACGGTGTAACAGTAGAGCAGCAGCAGACGGTTCTGGTTTTATTGGTCTGAACGCTTTCTGGGCTGAGAGGTGCCACACAGACATGTCAAGATGTTCTCATTTGTGCCTTCATCCTGCTGCTGTTGCTGCTTCAAAGAAATTCAATTTCAAGTGAAAATTCAGCTTTTGCTGGTGGATGTCAGAAGAGCCTGAAGCGAGCGAGCACGCGTCTCCACACTCACACTGCCCTCTAGTGTGTGGTTTCCACCATAAAACAACAACCCAGCGCCTACATTCCTGTGAATATCCTGGCAGCGAGTCCACCACACGCTCAAAATCCTGCATGTGTGGCTGCATGTATGAGGAAAAGAGTCACTGTGTAGCCGTGCAGGTGTTTTCCATTTACTGGGTTTCAGAAGCTGACAAGAAGTTCATGTTGTCTCCTCTGGACTAATGTGATGTGATAGTCAAAGTTTCTCGCTTGATTCTTTCTCTGAATTTAGCGCCATGAATCTGTTTCATGACATTTATGCCTCCCTGGTTGTAAAACGAGCACAGGAAGGAGGATATTCTGGGATCTTCAGCGAATGCATGTGTCCTCCACGGACAGCGTAAGCGATAGCAGGGATTTCACTGACAGAAGCCGGCAGATGACGCCGCTGGAAAACACTGAAAAATGATGTGTTAAAGCTCCCTTGACATATATCAGATTACAGGACGTGTGTGAGCTGCTGGGCGACGTGTCGGGCCATGTGTGGCTGCATGTCAGCCTGTCTCACAGCCACTCAGTCATTGTGGACTTCCTTCTCTGTGCTTTCAACAAGTAGGAAACGTCAGAGAAAGGATGAAGGTTCTGAGCCCATGTCCATTGATGTTCTCAGCAAGAAGTTTTCTTTTAGTTCCCAGAACGTTCCTGTTAAAGATAGAAGAACTGAAGATGTTCTAAAAATGCTCGGCGATGACATTGTTAGAACATTTTGCAACGAGCCAGCGAGCAGATCATGTTCCCACAATGTCGGCTAACATTACCTACAAGTTCTAATAATGTTTTAAAGAAAATCAAATGTTCAAACAACGTTTTGGGGATATTTATCATTTCAAGTATTGCTCCTGTGAGATTAAAAGTGAAAACATGTTTTAGCGTTTAGATGAAGTTTAAAGAATGTTGTCAGATTATGTTACATGAATGAAGAACCAACATTCAAAAAATGTTTTCAAGGCCTCAGATTACAATATATAAAACGTTCCTGTAATGTGACGTATGAACAAAGATGGAACGTTCTGATGTTTTGGGATGTTGCTGTTGAGAAAGTTCTCCTATAAAACGTTCTCACGATGTTACAAGAGAACAAAGGAAGGACGTTCTCAATGCAACATTTTGGAAAATGTTCAGAACAACATTCTGGGAACTAAAGTAACACATTACTAGAACTTTCCAAACTTTCTTGGAATGTTTTTAAAACAAAAAAAAATTCTAGCTGGGAACGTTCTCCAAACTGAACTCCCCACTTTGTTATCTTTGTTATCGTGGAACATTGTGAGAATGGTTTATTGAAGAACGTTCAATAATATGTTCCCTCAACAACATCCCCAAAAACATCATCGCAGCCTGAATGTTTCACCTTTATTCAAATATTGCGTCACAGGAACATCTTTTAACTCGAGGTCGGTCTTCTGAGGTCTTCATCACATCTTTCCCTTTCCTTTGAGAACGTTCTATAATTAGTTCCCTCAAGAAAAAAAAAAGGCAAAAATGTTCTACCGCTAATAAATCACATTAAAAAACAACAACAACATTCTGTCATCTGATAACAACTAGAGAACAGTTTTTGAATGCTGGTTTGAGAACATTCTTCCTTTGTTATCGTGGAACATTGTGATTAATGGAGGAATGTTCAGTAATGCGTTCCCTCAGCAACATCTCCAAAACATCCTTAGAAAGGCGCCTATAAATAAAATCTATTATTATTATTATCAGGACATTGCAGACAGAATGTGATCAATATATCTCATGACAGGAACGTTCCAGTTGCAGTACAGGTTATACTGTCCTGCCGTGTTGGTTTATTAATAAAGTTTATTCAAAAAAAACATTTTATTTCCCACAGTTTGGAGAATCTACAGAGTTCTACCCATGAGAAATCCCTGATCCATAACACTCCACTGTCTGGTTTTAGTACCTGGCAGGAGTCTGTAACATTTATCTCTGTGCACACAAACAAGTTGAGATCCAAGATAAGCTCCAGTACAGATTAGGCAATCCTGCACTGACTCTCAGAGTGCCATACGTCGGTCATACGTCAAACTTTTCGGTGCGAGCGTGGGGCTCAAAATAACCTCAAACTGAAGGCCACAAATAAACCAGATAGCAACCAAAAAGCTCACTGTTCTGCCATTTAAAAACAGTACAAGCGTGTGAGGGTAACAAATCTGACTTCGTTAGAGCCGTCGTGCAAAACAACTGTCACCACATGTGACTTTTGACCTCCGATTACTGAACAAGGAAGTCCAGTTGCAATAACTGGCGTGATAAGGCCCGAACGTTTCACCACCGCCATCACGCCGGCAAGTGCAAAATCCATTTTTGAGGCTTTACAGTAGTTTTTAGTGTCTTTGTGTTCAAAAAGTCACGTCAGCTTTCAAGCTGTTTGTCTGCCTTGTTACTGTTTAAAAAGAAAAAAAAACACACATAGCGGGAAGATCATGACTCAATCTGAAACCAGTAAAAGTCACACCTTTGAAAAACATGTCAACTTTTATTCCACCTTTGTTAAAATATATTTCAAATTGGACTTACAGCACTGTATTTATTTTATATATTTTTTTGGAAAACATAAATGATATTCACATATGACAACATTATCATCAAGTATAACTTATATTTACATAGAAAGGCGGCGTCAGATTTAGACAGATTCTTATATTTAACTCTACTTCGTGGGTGATACTACAGACTTGTTGTTGTTGGAGTGACACAAATATGTTTTTTTTTTTCTATTAAGAGACCTTTAAGTAGACCAGCTACCATAAATATCCACACTTTGTCCTGAGATTACAACTATTACTTTGTGCAATTAGCTCATTTACACACTTCATTTAAAATATAATCACTGTTCAATAAAAAGTCTCACAAAAAAAAGCAGCTGTTCGACAGACGGGTGTTCAAACAGCACAGTTCTGACTTTTAAATACTGCTTTCTTTCCCCAGCATTTAGCAGTGGGTTGGTACAGCGTCGCCAAGAAAACAAAAATAAAACATAGAAGAGCATCAAACATTACAGAAAACCTACGTGACAACCTGAAAACAAGCTGCTGCTCAGTTGAACCACGACTTCTTTCTGAAAGTTACCGCAGCTGTTGGTCCGGAGCATAAATTAGAAATACTGTGACCCTCAACGTGGTTTTATGATGAAAGAAAATACTTTTAAAGCAGCGTTTGGATCAAGAGTTGCATTAATGTACACATGTGGACAGACATGCTGAGCAGATGATGAAGGCAGATATGCAAAGAAGCTGTTGGTGAACATTTGAGTTTTAAAAAAGCGTCATTTTGTGCCAAACGTCAAGTATATTAGACCCGTAAACACCGAGTTAGACCCAGCTTATCGTGGCGCTGTGCAGGCAAGGTGCTGTCCTGCTTATAAAAATAATTTAAGTGCATTATCTGGAATTGGTTTAAATTGCACAATGCTGTCAAGAGTCATGTGAAATAAGTCAGAGGACAAGATTTTGGCTTCACAATTGAATAAATTAAAAAGAGAAGTGAAGCTTGTGAGATCTCAGAGACATGAGCCAAGGAGACCAAACACGTAGCCTCCACGGTGGTGGTTTCAACACGAGTTAATGATGCACACGTGTCCCATTTTAACCACCGTCGTACGAGGGAGCAGAATCTAATTTGGGTCTTAAATGGTTTTACTTTACGGCGCTGTAGCGTTAAGTCTGCTGTCATGTCCTCTTTGTGCCATCATCACATTCGGCACCGCAATAAAAAGGAATCTTTAGACCATTATAAACTGCTCACTCAAGTCCATGATGCAGTGCAATAATCAAGACTGTCCACAACCTCGACACAGGCCCAGTGTGACGGTGCTGCCTCACTGTGATGACTGTCTGTCTATTATGACCGATACCGTGGAGTTCGCTGAGAGGTCCTGTTCTGTGTAGGCAGGAGGGAGATCGTCCAGCTTAAAATCCAGCTGAAAGAATAAAAGCAGAGATACAAATTAGAAACAAATACTGAGGTGTTTGCTTTGTTCTCAGAGCTGAAGACAAAGTGGGTTCAGTAAAGACTTGAGTGGTGTTGTGGCAGAAGTACCTCGTTATATGAAGGCGGAGGCCCGCTGTAGGCGTCGGTGCTGTACCGCGGAGGTGGCTGAACGTCTTCACTGTTGTCTCTCCGGAAGGGGATGAAATAAACGGGGCGCTGGTGCGACTCGAGCTCGCCGCGTCGCATTGCCTCCGCCTCTATCTGCTCCTCCCTTAGGCGGCTGCAAGCTCTGCAGAAGGTGGTGCAGAACATGATGGAGAGGCCAAAGCCAATGAAGCCCAGGAAGATCCTAGGAGAGGAGGATGGAAAGACGGAGAGGTGTTTGGGATTAGTTTTGTACGTCTGACATCACTTAGTACGCTTTGAAATTCTGATTAAGCTGAGTTTTAATAAAGCTTCTTCACAAGAGGCACTAATTTAGACTCCTCTGGGGTCTAACTGGCCTCAAACATTTGTTTCTTTGATTTTATAGCACAGAAAATGGTATTATATCTGCAACACATAGCCCATATATAAAAACAAAACGTGAAGATGCCATATCTCACTACCTGGTGCAAATGAAGCAAGAGTCAAAGGAAAAGAAAAGACAACATCTTCAGTCCTACATCCAGCTGTTGGGTCAAACTAATGTCAGCAAAACCAAAGGGACCAATAACTAGAAACTTCTAGATTTAAAGAGATGTGTCTTACTCTAAAAAGGGCAAAGAGTTGAGTGACATCTTTAGGCCTGCGTTGGTAAACTCTTGATGGACCAAACTGGAAGTGGATCCACAGGATGAACCTGAAAGACAAGAAGGGAAACATTTAACTGTGATGTTGTCAGTGAATAAATCCTGCAGTTTTCTTTGAGGTGAAGCTGAGAGCTTAAAAATTAAAACAAATCTTTATCCTTATCCTGGATTCATATAATATAATATAATTGAACTCATTAAATGGATAAATAAAAGAATCATCAGAGGCCATATTTGATTCTCTCCTGTGTGGAGACATGAGAGCGTCACAGAGACAGATCTCTCATATCACTCTGTCCCGCCGTGACCTCGTTGGGTTTACAGTCTTTCGGTCTGGTTGGTATTACGTAAAGCCCTGATGGTTGGATTTTTCCACTATGCTCGTAAACCTACTAGTTAATCACAGTCGAGGTAAGAGTTTACAAGAAGGTCAGAGTTATTAGTATCAAGACTGAAAAGGAATTTTAGAAACCAGGCTTGATGGATGAGTTTCAGATCAGAGCGGTGAGGTGGGTGATGTGCAGATAAGAAGTCTTCTCCCATCTGGGAAGTGTTGTCATTTTATTTCTGGTCAGTTAATTAACAATACTAGATGTAATGAGATGATTGTGTAAGTATCCAGCCCCACTAGGTCACTATTCATTAGACGGACCTTTGGCCACAATAACACAGCGTCACCGTGCTCAGCCTGCTGGGATCGGTCTTAATCAGCCTGGCACATCTTGACACTGCGACTTTGCCCTGCCCTACTTTGCAACACTGACGTCTAGGTTCTGACTTGGTGACTCCAGAACCTTCTCCTTGCTGTCTCCAAAGTCAATGTTTCTCCTGCAGACTGCATCAGGTTGGATTTCTCTAAACGTTGCTGCATTGGTTTTATCTTCTACCTTTAGAAGCCTTTCAGGGCTGCTGCACAGAAACAGTTCCACACAATGATGTTGCCACTACCGTGCTCCACTGTGGGGTTTGTGATGATGTGCAAAGTTCGGTGTAGAGTATGATGGCCATAAAGCTCTACTAATGTTTCATCAGACCAAAGAACCTTCTTCCCACATGTCTTCTGGTCGACTCTTAAGATTTAATGAGCTTTTTCAACACCTTCACATAAAGCTTTGATTGGTGAAGAAGAGGCAACAGAACAGTCTCTCCTATCTCAGTCGCTGAAGCTTGTACCTCCTCCAGATGAGTCCCAGGTGTCTTGGTGGCCTCCTTCACTAGTCTCCTTCTTGCACAATCACTGGCCTGGTTCTGGGCAGATTTATACATCTGTCATATCTCTTTTATTTCTTAACGACAGATTTAATTGTATTCCAAGAGCTATTCAGTGACTTGGAAACCCTATACCTGAGCTGTTTGGGGTGTATTCTTCTACCTTCTTGGTGTAGTTCGAGCCCAGAGAACAGATTTACCTCTGACTGGACCTGGTGTCTTTACGCTACAGTCAATTCAGACACAGTCACTCAGATAATTTTCACTAATTGTGTGTTTTCTTGCACCAACTGACTGCACCTGCGTTGAATTAGATGAACCACCTTAACCCTTTATGGTGCAAGTGACCATGTTTGGTAACTTCCTTGGATGTGTCTACCCTGTGCCTCCCGGTGAGGCTGAAGAACCACGTGCACTTTGATTTAGTTTTTATATTACTGCCAATATGACTACCTTATGAAAAATGTCCCTGAACAAATGTTCCAGGCGTTTTGTCACTGGTTTGAACTCCAGTTTGATTTATTTTTAACTTTATCAATCTTGATTTACAACATTTAAAAAAATAAAAATAAAAATTTTAAGCCACAAAAGTAAAAATATCTTGCAATATCCTTTAATTACACGCTAAGGTTGAAATTTTAATTTTCCAAGTATTTAAAGGAGTGCCGTATAAAGGGTTAAAGGTCGTAAATAATTATGCAATCTCTTATTTTACATTTTCTATTTTTAGGTCATTGACATTATTTTGCAGAAATCTGGTTTCACTTTGACATGAAAGAGTCTTTTTTTGGAAATTTTTTGTCAGATATATATTTTTTATTTTGTGTTAAATTTAGTAAATAATGACGTTGTGCTGCCTTGGGCTTATACGCTCATTTTTTAAACAGCAGGAGATGAAATGTATGATACAGTTTCATTAAAATCTAAAGAGAAACTACACCTGCGGCACCAACCCAATACATTTTATTTTTTTGTATTCTGTAAGTTTAAGTCTCCACTACAGAAAAACTATCACTGATATTAACATGGGTATAACAGAAATCGTTTAAACTATTAACAAGCTGCGTAAGTACTATTTGGTGTTGATCATCTCACCTCTTACTGTCTACCTGACAAAAGCAATAATAAAAAGCTAAAGAAGAGGAGCCTTCTTGGGTTTTAATGGATTGTACTTTGCAAAACAAAATGATACGGATCAGGTGGACAATCAGACAATCAGCACACTGAGTCACACCCTTGAACCACGACTCCGCAAGCGCTTGAGCAAAGTTTATCACAAGTTTTGATCAGTTATATTAATATGTAACTGTAATATGCAAAGTTACACACACAGAGAAGGGAGCTAAAGTAAATGATCCCAAAACCTCTAAACAGGAAATTACACCAACAAGGCAAGAAAAACACTGTCCACGCTATGAGATGATTCTAAAATTACCGTTCTTTTCTTTACAGGCTGAATAGATTATTAAGCAAAAGCAAGCAAATCACATGAGCAGGTGAGGTCAAAATTCATGATCAGTGAGCACATGGGAACAGGGAGGGAGTCTGTAAATACTGTCAAAGCAAATAAAAAGCTCCTCATGTGTCACGTTTAGGAAATTACAATAAGCATAGTGTAATTCAATTCCATCAGATTTCTGTAACTGACAAAAACTTTCAGAAACTGGAAGCAACAAAAAAAAAAAAGGCGCAACTCCAGACTCCTACCTTCGGTGCAGCGACGTCTCTTCTCAGGTGTGTAACTGGGGCAGAATCACCGGAGCAGAGTACAGTTTTTATTGTGGGTGTGCTGACGAGGGGGCGGCGTATGAGTGTGTACATACATGAGAGGGAGTGCAAAGCCCAGCGTGTTTATCAGCCACCGAAATACACGCAGAAATTCAGTATTCTTAGTTGTATGAGCAGCGTGTTTAAGCCTGTGCTTAACTTCAACACTAATGTGCATGAATATATGCCCCCATGTATGAATTTGTGTGCGTTTGTGTGTTTTGTCAGTCGGACATTGTGTTTTATTGGTTTGTGCTAAAGGTCCATCGGAAGAATTTATGGCAGCTTTAGACAATTTAAAGCCACAGCTACCTTCATCTGCAAGGTTTGAACTGAGAGTTGCCGTAGAAACAAGAGCAGCGGAGGAAGACGAGGCCTGTTTCCCATTAACTCGGTTCAAATCTCACCGTTCGCATCAGAGTCAAAGTAAAGTGACTCCTTTCCTCCCATTTTTTTATGTCAGGCAGCTGCTCAAGCACTTTGTCCTTCGGTCTTAAATCATAAAAGTGAAGCAGGCAGAGGTTGAACCCCGTGATTGGCACCAAATTGTGGGAAAATAAACTTGACTCAAGACGCTTGGTCAGCATGAATTAGTGGGATTGGCTGTAAGGAAATGTAAGCAGCTTCCTTTACATCATCCATTGTTTCCACAAGCGCCGTCTCGTTATTGATCAGGTTTAAATGGTATTCCAGGTATTTGTTGTGGAATCTCCAGGAATTCAATGCCCACAGTTTTACACCAAACAGGGCTTTCCATTAAAACCAAGAAGAGACGACATTATTAGTGAGACAGATTTCAAACAGAGCTGTACTTTCAATGACAAGTGAAGTGGAGTTGAGTTGTTCGGTCCGTTATCTTATTCTGTGTATAAAAACGTGCACGTCTGTAGTTTAAAAAACTAATAAAATAATTGTAAAATGACGCAACAAAGCATTACATTGAAACTCTCTTACTGGAAAATCGATCGATCGGCTTATCAGAGGAGTAAAACGATTGAAAGGTTCCACCCACAAACTAATCACTGATTACTAACAGTTAATAGTTACGTGAAGTTACAGGAATACAAGTCAAATGAGGTCAAATTAACTTTATTGGTCTAATATTTAGTTCAACCAAGAACTGCTCTCCTTCTGGATGAACAAATGATATAACAGTGGTATAGAAATAGACACTGCTGAGTCGAATAATCCAAAGACTGTTTGTAACAACGTGGGTCCTTTAGTGCGTTTTCTGTTGGCAAGATTGTCAGTTTCAATAAAGTTTAAACGTGTTTAAACAAAAGCAGTGGTGTCAGAATTCATGGTTGTGTTCTCAGTGATGATGAAGTGATGCAGCAGGATGACGCTGGGTTCAAGTCAAATATGGTTCAACAACACTTTAACTGTGTATAAATCCAACAGGTGCATTAGAGTAACTCCTTCCTGCTTTATGCTGGTATTAGAGAATGAAGTCAGGTCTAACGGCTGTAGATCCCACTGGGCTTTTCTTGTTTTGCTAGCTGAGGAGAGCTCTGGTGCCAAAATATTTAAAAATGTAAAATTCAATTAAATGCGCAGTTCATTTACTAATTGTACAACCCTGTACAGGCTTTGTGTTGCTTTCTACAGTGATGGCGCAGCATAAATCGAAACGTACTTCACAGAGAATTCACACATGTAGCCGAAAAAAGAAAAAAAAGAGTTTCACAAACACACCTACAAACATATACAGACACCCAGAGACAACTCTGAGCAGAAATATATTCATCTATCACATCTACTGTTCTGCTCTGAGTGCTTTCATTGGGAAATAATTCCTCTCTTCTCCTCTTGCTGGTCATTCCAAAGAATACTTTTTGGAAAAAACAAACAAAAGCAAAGTATTTTTTGGAATCACAACAACCAGGAAACCTCACAATGTGCCCGATTATGTCACATCTTTAAACCTCTCACATGTGGGGGTTCATTCCTTCAGGTTATTTTTCACGACATTTACAATGCCTAAAGTTCTATAGATCTGAAAAAGCACTTATTTGGAGTATTTCATGTTTTGGAGTATGTTCAGTTACATGTATTGCTATCTATTTCAAAGCAGGATACTTTTTGTGATGATGGGGTTTTTTTTTTTTTTAATGTTTGGATTTGGGGAGGATGCCAAGTAATTCTAAATGCAAAATCTGTCAATGCTTTTAACATTAAGGTGCGTGTTTGACATGTCTGATTGTTGTCATAGAGCATCAGGTCGTCTCATTTGTGATGCAGGACCACACCTCTGTTTCTGCCTGGAGCAGCATAATCATCCACGACAGACATTCTGTTTTCCCTGCAGTTATAAATCCTCATGAGACACTCTGTGGGTGCGTTTGTCCAGCCAGGCCTGCAGCAGAGGAAGGTTGGTGTCCATCCAGCGGATGTTATCCTCGATGGTCTCGTAGGCCTGCTGGATGCACCTCATCTCGGAGCCCGTCTCCTCGGTCAGGGAGCCGAAGAAGCTTCGTACCTGAGAACATGCAGAGGAGGGAGGCTTCAATCCACTGACAGGATTACTGCTTTATTATTTTGTACACTGTGCAATGAATATAAAGGAATCCTGTTCTTTTCTATGTATTTTGCAGTAAGATCTAAGCAAGAACGTACAAACTGATCATGATCATACAGTGGACACTACTGTGAGACAGGGTTTTCTGTCATTTTCTGTTAATTGGACAAATATCTCTACATCGTTAAGATCCTATAAGCAGGGTTCTTGTGGCTGTGAGCAGATGAACATACCATAGTTTCTAGTGAAAGTAATAGAAGTCCAGGTGGACACACAGAGTCTTACGTACCTCATGTAGCATCTCCCTGGTCGAGTACTGGTTGGTCACCTGAGTCACCAAGAATGATATCGTGCTGGACCCGAGGTCAAACCTGTTGCATGAAAACAAACACGGACACAATTCAAAGTTCACAATATTCAGCTCTGTTTACATTCTCACGTCCAGTTTAAAAACACGGCAACACTTGAAGTATTTTTCCTACAAAGCTTTACATGTGTGGCCCAGAAGCTAAACGGTTCAGCTGCTGTAAGGATCTGTGCAGTAGTGCTGCTCAGTGTCGCAGTAATGCTCCCTGTAGTGGTAATGTGGGCCGAGGCACCTGCAAATCAGTGTCACGGTCAGAAGAAGACTGAAAATGTGCTGAGTCATGATAGAAGTTGCCAAGAGGCGTCCTTGCTGAGGGCAGAGAACCTCAACGCTGACACCTTTAATTCTGGCATCCACATTTTTTACATTTTTCTGTAGTTTCAAGGTCGAAATACTGTAGTGTAGTGTTTAATGCTTATTTTACTCATATGTGTTCCAGTACAT